GAATTGAATGTTATACCACGCAAGGAGTTTTGAAGACAGCGAAACACATGGAAGTCTGACAGCGCAAGGTCAGGCGAGTATGGTGGGTGTGGCAACACATCCCATCCAAGCTCCAATAATTTTTGACGGGTGATCAAACTTGTGCGTGGTCTCATGTTGTCACAATGGAACACACTCCTTTACAATTAACAAGCTCTGAACGTTTCTGGATGATGGATTCGTTCAAACTGTCCAATTGCCGACAGTACACATTCAAATTGATTGTTTGGTTCCTTGATAGGAGCTCAAAAAACACGACACCTTTAAAATCCCACCACACTGAGCACAGCCTTCCTCCGATAAATGTCTGCTTTCGATGTCGTTTGAGGCAAATCATCACATTGAGACCAAGACCGTTTGTGCACCACTTTGCTATAAATAATTTACTTCTCATCACCAGTTATCAGTCGCTTCAAAAAAGGATTTTTTTCCTCCCACTTAATGAGCATATTGCAGATGTTTATACGCGCCACCAAATGAACTTCTTTGAGTTCATGTGGAACCCAAATATCAAGCTTGCTTACGTATCCCAGCTTCTTCAGGTGGTTGTGAATGCTTGAATGATGGATGTTCAATGTTTCTGCAATCTCTCATGTTGTGTAACATGTGTTTGACTCGATCGATGCTTTTATTTTGTTGTCATCAACCTCGGTGGGCCTCTCTGACCTGGGAGCATCGTTGAGATCAAAATCACCAGCACAGAATTTCGTGAACCATCGTTGGCACTGACGTTCTTGTTGAGCATTGTCACCGTAAACTTGATGCAACTTTTCACAAGCTTGATGTGCACTCTTCCCTTTATGGAAATAAAACAGTAAAATATGGCAAAAATGCAGTTTGGCCTTCCATCTTCAACTTGTTGTAAAATCTCCAAAACTCAACCAAACCGCTGTTTTTTTTTTAGAATGAAGCTAGAACTGTCAGCTGTCAAATGACATAGCAATAACATAGATGCGAATGACTCTAGTACTTCCAAGAATGAACTAAGAACTGTCAGCTGTCAAATGACATAGCAATAACATAGATGCGAATGACTCTAGTACTTCCAAGAATGAACTAGTGCCATCTGTTGCAAACATGCATCATGACTTTTCCGAAGGCCCAATATTTAGTCAAGTCACAGTTGCTTTTTGTGTGTGGGGGAAGTGTTTGTACAATTTCAAAGTTGTGGGCATCACTGGACTTCCTCCCTCATCCCTGTGTGTGCATACTTCACGATGTGTCATCTAAGGATAAGGGTACAATTCACACCAATAAAACCACAGTACCATTATCACACCCAAGATAATTCATAACAATTCCATATTATCTGATATCTATTGATAGTTCATATTTCGTTATCTCCAAATTGTTTTTTACAGTTGTTTTTCCCTCAGCCAGATTCCAATTAAGGTTCGCATACTGCAGTGGGTTACGAGGTTATGTATCTTCAGTTTCTTTTAATCTAGAAGAGTCCCTCAACCTTTGTATTTATTTTTGTTTAGTGGCACTGCCTTTTTGGAGACCAGGCCAGTTGTCTAGTAGATGCCCTTTCTTTTCTTTTGACTGATTGGTTCCTCATGTTGATTTCTCTGTCCCTTGAATTTCCTGTCACTTATCACTTAGGTCTATGGCTTGATTCAGATTACACTTTTGGGTAGGAGCACTAAGTATATTTTGTACTGCATCCCACCGGTTGTGCATAATGCCAGGCTGTCCGCTATGATGCTCAATTTGATGTCTGGGGTAAGGTGACAAACATCTCTCTCCTTTGTAAAGATGTTCTCCTATGCAGTGAGCAAATAATCTGGGAGTGACACTTTGAAATGTCAGTAGATTGTCACCAACAATTTCTCCCATTCCTGTTTGCATATGCTGAGGTAGAATACCCTTTTCACCCCTTGAATCTGGACTGGCCTTCTGACTTGGTTTGACCAATACGTGGTAGAAGTGGGGTTTCCTTATTTCTGGGCCTAGTCCTGAAGAGGCCTTGAACCTTCTCTTTTTACCCTCTTGAAATTAAGCTGCCAAGTGAAGAAACTCAGGCTGGAATGCTGAATGAGACCAGGCCACATGAAGGAGAAAAGCTCAGCCAGCCCAGCTGGGGGCACCAGACAGGTGAGGGAAGCCCATCTTGGGTTCTTCAGCTCTGGGCAACCTGCCCTTCCCAACACCCTGTGAAGCAGAGGCAAGTCCTCTCCAGGGAGCGCTGTATAAATACCAGTCATAAGGTAGAACAGTGTTTTAAGTCACTGATTTTCAGTGGATTGTTACACAGGAAACAGATATATTAATATTCTGTCTGGTGTTGGTTAGGGCTGGCTGAGTAGTGTTTCATAGTTTTCTATGTGGAGGTCTTGCAAATCTTTCAGATTTATTTTGAGTTATTTGATGCTTTCTAATGCTATTGTAATGGGTATTGTTTTTATAATTTCAATGTCTAATTGTTACTAGAATACAGAATACAATAATTTTCATTTATTAATATTGTGTCCTGTAAGCTTGTTAAATTCAGATTCTAAGTTTACATTGATTTCAATTTTCTACATACACAATTGTGTCTTCTGAGAATGACAATTTTGTTCCTTCCTTTTTTATCCCTAAACTTTTTATTTACTTCTCTTGCACTGGCTAGAATCTCCTGTACAAAGTTGAAAAGGAGTGGTGATAGCAAGCACCTTTGTCTTCTTCCTGATCTCTGGGGAGTAAAGTTTTCAATAATTCATAATTAAGTATGGTGCTTGCTGTAATTTTTGTTTTGGTAGATGCTCTTTATTAAATTAAGAACCCCCCTTCTAGTCCTAATTTGTGAAGCTTTTAAAAAAATTCATAAATGAGTGCTGAATTTTAAAAAATGTTTTGAGTCTTTAAAGATAATATAATTTTTCTCCTTTATTTTTGCAAATGCAGTACATAATATTAACTTTTCAATTTAAAACTACAGACAGTCCTTGCTTTACACAGTATCGTGTTAACGGAAACTTGCTGATCTCTGTAGTATAACTATTCCCACCATGGCAGATTTAAGCCAACAGGTCACTGAACGCACAGGTGGGATCTTAAGGGCCAGTATGGGCTGCGCTGCCACACCTCTGATTTCAGTTCCCAACAACCAAGATTGAAACTTATCACAACCTCACTAGACTAGGAAGAACAAAGCCACTGTAAATTATCTATTTTATAAAGTCTCACAGACAATCCAAGAAGTAGATTAAAATAAGGATATAAGTCCCTTATTTTTTCAAGCCTTTATTAAATGCCTAATAAGTATTGTCTAATACTATGCTAATTGCAAGGGAAAATGTAACTCTTTGAAGAGCTTACAATGTAAATGATCTAAACAAGATTAAGAGAATGTGCCTGGAATTTAGAGAAAAATCTTAAGATAGTAGTTAGCTTAGTGCTAAAGAAATCCAAAGGTAGAATTGGATAGTTTAGGAATTCTTCCTGGAAGAGATTATACAGGGTATGAGCTAAATCTTTTTTTTACATTTTAGTTTTTATTTTTATTTTTTAAAGAAATTTTTATTGGGGAACAGTTTGTTTATCCAGGACCCATCAGCTCCAAGTCAAGTAGTTGTTTCAATCTAGTTGTGGTGGGTGCAGCTCCTTGGCCCATGTGGGGATCGAACCGGCAACCTGGGTGTTATGAGCCTGCACTCTAGCCACCTGAGTTAACTGGCTGCCCCTTATTTTATTTTTTAAATTGCTAAATCTTAATGGAAATAATGGGATTTAGACTAGTAGAGAAAAGAAGGTCACTGTATTAGAATAACAGAATGGCATAAATGAGGTATGAAGGTAGGAAAGCTGGTGGCATCTTTAGAAGCTCATAAAAGTTGAGATAACACCTGTCCATCCTGGGCACTCCAGTTGCTTCATTTGCAAGTGTCAACCAACCTTTATGGCAACACTGTTGGGGAGGTATGCCTCAATTTCTTAACAATGCAGTGGCAAATGGCTAAATGGTACTTCACATTAATAACCAAATATAGTTATTCTGTTTTTCTGCCTGTAGACGACAGTGAAAGCAAAAGTCAATTTTCTATTGAAACACTTTATAATGAAGGTCGCTAGTTTTCGGGCTGAGAAAAAAATGTTCTTAAACATCCAAGGTATAGTTCATAAAGATTCTAAAATGGGGTTTTCTTGTTGGCTCAGAAAACATCTACCCCAAATTTCACAATGGTCAAGGTCAAGACAGAGCTTGAACATTTCAGTTCCTTTGTCCATAAAGAACACATGGAAATGGTCTACGTTCTACCATTCTAAAATAAGTCTAAAATTATTAGATTCCAGAAATAGTTTTCAAACCAAAAATGTAGGAAATGGGGCTATGGCTAGAAGTGATATGGATACTGAGACACAGTTCTCAAAGCACATATAAGAATTAAGTGAGATAAAGTATCCACTTATCACCAACAATATACTTGCATACCATTTGGTCACACATTTGATCAATTTAAGTAAAACCTTCCTCAAATCAAATTCTGGATTCACAAAAAAATTGTGGATTTTAACTGGTATATATAATAATAATATAATTATGTTAATTTTCCTGATATAATAGCAATACCATATAATTCTGGTGCCAATAAAGTACATAAATTATCTTATAGGGCCAGCCGAGTGGCTCAGTTGGTTAAAAGCTTGCTCAAGAGTGTGAGCTCTGAGCAACAGGATCGCCAGTTCGATTCCCAGCCCGAGCTGAGCTGCCGCTGAGCTGCCAACAGGTAGCAGGATGGCTCAGCTAAAAAAACAAAACAAAACGAAAACGAAAAGAAAAAAAAAAAATTATAAGACATCCACAAACAATTCAGCACTGGTTTACCAAGTTAATTCCCAACCTTTGCATAAAAGTTGTTGAAGAACAGGATTTTCATGTATACAATCTTAATAATTAAAAAGTTTTTTGTATCTAATCAATGTAGATATATTTTCTCCTACACAGAAGATCCCAAAATAAAGAAGCACACACAGAATATAGCCAACAGTACATTATATCAATTTACTCCACATAAGAACAGCATGTTTCAGGACTATGATTTCCATTTAATATCAACAAAAACAATCTGTACAGACAACCAAAGGCAACCATATTGAGTAATATGTAAATGTGCAAATATACTTTAAAATGCAAGTCATCCTATAGTATTTGCAAGGTAGAACTTCATAATGATTAAGGAATCTACCTCATTCTAACTAACTTAATAACCCTTTGCATGAATAGCCAATGCAAATGTAGAAGGCACAACTTAATGTTAATGCTAAAGTGTGTAACACACACCGTCAGATTTTTTATTTGAAGATATTAAAGTAACATAATCATGTTTGTATTTTATTATTTAATGAACCACAGCTCATTTCTAAAGCTTCATGAAGCGTTACACTGATAACATGTGTAGCCAGGACAAACTGTTCCCTGAACTTAAAAAGGTAAAAGATAAGACCCTTGCTATATTAAAAAAAAATTATATATATATATATATATGTACACGCACACCCCCATATCACACACAAGAAACTCCCCATAATCCAAAGGGAGGCCATTCCTTTTAGCAAAAGATCCCATTACAGTATTTCATGGTAGTTATTTAAAAAGGACATATTTATTCACTATCAGTTTTGGTCTATCTGGCTACAAAAAGACACTGACTGAAATAGACAATTTTCCCCTTCAAGATAAAGACAATGCCTAATTTAGAAAGTCTTTGTCTTGAGATTGCACAGTGAATGGTGTTATTTAGTTAAATATAAAAGCTTGCTGCCTTTAAAGAAATTATTTAAATCTACACAAAGAAAATGTCAACTTATCAAAAATCAGTAAAAGCCTTGGCCAGAACACAATTCATAATCTTTCAAGTCCAATCACAGTGCTCTCTCTATGCTGTTTCATCACGCATCCCTGAGAGTATAGATTCTATCATTTTTAATTTTTAATAAAGTAAATAAATTTACATTGATGAGAATGCTTAAAATTTTTTTCAAAATATGAAGTCAGCCCTATCTCATTTTAGTAAAAAAAAAAAAAGATAAAAGCTCTTTACAAAGACCACTATTCACAACAATTTAAAAAATCTGTACCTTAATCAATTTTAATCCTCTTTTTACTGGGTAATTTCTATTCTTTGCCATTCATATAACACACATTTCCTCAACTCATTATTTTATAGTTTTTGTTAACAGGAGCATTTAATTGGTAATGGAGCAAAATTACATATAAAATTTAAAGGAACACTGAAGTGAGATCTCTATTTCCCTGTGGTAAAAGTGTTTTACTGGAAATAATCTGAATGCCATCCAAGAAAGGCAAAAATACCTACAAAAGAAAGAACACACACGGTAAACGTCACCCTCGTTGTCTTTGGTTTAGCCTTCTTGGCCAAAATCTTCTGTAAACTTCTTTAATTTCAACAAGTCGTGTTCATTGACTGTGGGTTTTGTGCTAGACAGTGACCGTAACATGTCCGACTGTCAGGGAAAAAGAGGGGAGGATGATTAGTAACAGATTTAATCACTGTATTATCATTACTTCCACTTGGTAAGTCTGAGTATTTGCAGTGTGCCATAAGCTACCGACAATAAACTCTTGTTCTTCTAAAGGATGGCTCTGACCATGTTATTCCTTTGCATAGAAACTTTCAATGACTTGCCCTGTCTTGGTCACAACCTTCAGTAGCTCCTCATTACCCATCAGAAGCAGTCAGTCCTCTTAGCCTGAGGATCAAGACCCTCCAAAATGCGTCCCTGATTTTTCTGGCCTTATCTGTTTTTTTCCTTAATCAAGAGAGTTTTCCAACTGCAATTCAAAAGGAATATAGTCATTCACTTACGCTTATGTGAAACAGAACATGATTTAAACAAAATCAACTAATCAGAATTTTTAACTACTTGTTAAAAAATTAAGATCAAACTGGTTAGAAAATATGCTAATATTGGAGAGTCATTAAAAAATTAAGTTCTAATCTATGGCTATGTCTATCGTAAAGTAGTATGGAAAATGCTCAAAAGAACCAAAATTTTAATAAATCAAGAATTGAAACAAAAAAGTTTCTGAATAACTTCTCAGGTAAGCATTATGGTTAATTAATGCATAAATATATGTGTGTGTGTACTGAATAACTTCTCAGGTAAGCATTATGGTTAATTAACACATAAATATATGTGTGTGTGTACACGTTCACACACATACATATATGTATACATATGTCTATATATCTATGTCTACATATCATGTAAAAGTTTCTCTGGAAGTTACTGTTCATTGACATAAAGCTCTTTGAAAATCTATTAACTGAGGCAGAAAATTTTTTTAACTGAGTGGTTATCAATAAGAAAACATAAATATAATAAATGTACCTTTTCGATCACAGTTAAGTTCCTTAAAAGTAACATGCTTTACAAGATAATAAAGCCTTATGAAGTATTTTAATTCCTTCAATATGAACTACAGAAATATAATTTTTTATAGTAAAAATTTTGCTTCAGAATTTTTTTTTGTTTTTTAAGCACTGCATTATTTAAACTTTTTACAAAGCCCTGAGAAGTAAAATAGAAAAACACCAGTACAAATACTATGATACATGCATTAGGGTTTCTGGATACTTTACAAAATATGAGATTCAGGGAAAAAATTTTTCACCAACCCTACGTTTAAGTTAAGTCTGAACAACAATTTATGCAACACATATTAGCATTTTGTTAATGATATCCCAGGTATAAGACTTATAAACTCAGAAACCTATGTGTTTTTGAAAAGCTTATTCACTTAAAATCAAATTTTCCTCAAAGCCTATGAAAACGTTTTAAAGAATTATTTGTTATATTTTAAGTTCAATTAATCTTTACAACTTTTTAAGTTGTTAGTATTAAATAAGCATGCCTGATCATTTTAACATTTTTCTAGCTAAACTTACATAGCTGAAAATGTTTATCTTTACAAAGATAAAGTATAAATTACAAAGTATAGTGACAAATTACAAAGTATAATGTTTTAAAAAATTTTCTTAAAATCAAACAAAATGTCAAACCATGCAAACAACTGGCTCCAAAAGTTTATCCCCAGGGACATCCATCCATGTCATTTCAATGGCACCAGGGTCACCTGGAGAACAGGGCATTAGCAGGTCATCTACTATGTTGTTAGGATCAGCTCGTGAAGGTCCTCGAACCTGGAATAAACAATAACCTTGAATATTTATCTGAACAAATTAAATAATATTAAGATTTAGGCCATTATCAGATTTGAAAATGTACTATTATTGCATATTTCCTCAAAATGTTTACTTTTGAGAAGAAATAGAATATACAATAAAAAGTGGTTATCTCTGGGTGAGAGGATAAATTTTGCTTGATTTAAAATTTTTTTTTTGATGCTTTTCTGTATTTTGAAATTTCCTTATATGATCACAGGGGGAAATGAGTTAAGATAAAAAAAAAGTTACCCATGGCTACAATTTGTTTTTTTTCCCCTCCTATGCTTATTTAAGTGGTAATAATCCCAAAGACAGACCTACTCAAAAATTCTCATTAAGTTTCTCTATTTCCCACAGCTGAGAAACTTCTGTGATATTTGCAAGGTTTATTAGTGTGAAGTTACTGAATGTTTCGGTCTCTCTCAACAAAAACTCCTCCTTAAAATATAAGTACAAAATTAAATGCTAAGTGTAATTCCAGTGCAATTTTATGATGCATGACTGATTTCAAATTTAAATAACATGCAGAATAAGAACCTTTGTGACAGTCATATGTAAATATTTAGATGGCAACACATTTGTATCAAATTGGGAGCTGTTTTCGTATTTGTTTTAATATTTGTTTTACAATAATCTATCTTAAATATTGTCTCAGGACTGAGGCAGGTGTGGAGAAATACATACTCTCACTTTACTTATTACATGTGTTTTTTTTGTCTGTCTTTCCTCACAAAAATTTCAGCTGCAGGGATTTTTGAGTCTTTTTTATTTACACAAATCCATTTATTTATTTATAAATATATGTAATACAAATATATAAAATATTATAAATATATAAAATATAAATAAAATCCATTTATTTATTTTTGTGTCTGTTGTACTTTCTGGCTTACCTCTGAGCTCAGATTAGTACTTTAGACATTTGATAAAAGCAAACAGGCAAACCTGTTCTTGGTAACTGAAAAATGAAGGAAGGGATCACCAAAGCCGGTGATACAAAAGGCCTGATGTCAGGATGGATTTGGCTGCTGCACCTTTATTCCCAACAAGACCTGGCTGCAGTGTCATATAAGCAGCTCCTGGCAGGAGGTACCAGGGAACTGAATGCAAAGTTCTGGGTAAGAAAGGAAATGGCAAATGCGATGTAAGAGAAAAGTACAATGGCTGTGGCATAAACCTGATTCTGAGCCTACTATATTTCTCAGTAATGAAATGGCTGAAGGTGAGATGAGTAATATTTACCGGGCTATTAAGGTACCATGATAGGTGTTTTATGAATGTTACTTTATTTCATTCTCACAACAGCACTTCAAAAGTACTGTTATCATCCCTATTTTAGAGAAGATAAAAATGAACTTTAAATAAATAATGTAATTTGCTCAAGAAGATATAAGAGTTATAGTCAGGCTTCAAATTCAGGTTTTAATTCAAGCTCACCATTTTTTTAAAAAACTTATTTTATTGTGCTACATAAGAGACATACATGTACCTTAGTCATGGTAGATTAGTCTTGTCATATGTTGCTGGATTACATTTGCTCCTAGTTTTTCAGGATTTTCACATCTACATTCAGGAATAATGTTGGGTACTGCTGTCCTCAACACGGGGTTGGCAAATTACCTTCTCTGCTATTACTTAAATTTGATATCCCAAGACCAAGTCCTTTTATACAACTCTCAACTCAACCACGTGTGCTTAACTCATTCATGCAGACAAAACAGAGCGGAATGGCTGAGACTTCAGATTCTGAAGTACACTTTGCCCTGAGAAAAATCACCCTGGCAAACTGTGTTGCCCCCCAAGTCCTGGCTAATCATGCGAACATCTGCATCGCAGGTTAACCATCAACAGGCGGCTGTACGTGCCGCTTGTAGTTTTCATTGAGGACCCAATGAAACAGTGAGACAGAAGACAGCACACAGAGCCGGGCATGGCAATATGTAAACAATGTTAGCTATTTTACTTTGTTAATGAGATGTAAACACACCAGATTCTGCTCAAAGGTGTTCTGGTTACAAAGAGATTAACTATACATTTAAGTTTCTACACTTACATCGACAAAATACTGCAAAAATAACTGCATAGAACATTTTAAAAGATTTTAGGACTATTAATAATGGCTAATTAATAAACTTTATGGGAGAACTTTTCTTTTTTTGCTATAGTATTTTTAAAATTTTTAAATTTATTGAGGTGACAATGATTAAGATTATATAAAGTTTCAACTGTAAAATTCTATAACACATCATCTGTATATTGCATTGTGTGTTCGCTACCCACAGTCTTATCTTTTCAAGAACTTATTTTTAATGGACTAAAAATATATCTATGATGTAAATCCATTTATTTATTAAACAAAACTAAAACCTTGCTAAAATTCTTTGAAGACAATATATCTTGAAATCTGATTTTTAAAATATATGAGAGGATGGATAAAAGATCCTTACCTTTTTAAAATGAGTAGCTGACTGTACTTTTCGAACAGGCTGCATAAGCGCATCACGCACAATGATACTTATGTCTGCCCCTGAGTAACCATCAGTTTTCTTTCCAAGTTCTCGGAAGTCTGTTTCCGTTAAACTGTTCTGAGTGGTCCCCAAGTGCAGTTTAAACATTGCGGATCGGGCATGGGCCTCAGGCAGAGGAATATAAATTCGTTTCTCAAATCTTAAAATGAAAAGAAAAATTGCATCAACAATATTACTATATATATTTTTTTCAATTGAAAATTAGGATATTTTCAAGGAGAAACAAGATACTACAAAGTTAAGCTGAATAAGTGAAATTGGGCTCATATGTGTCAGAGTTAAAATGTATATATTTAGATTAAAGGGAAAGTATACAGAACATGTTAACAAACAAAACCAAAACAGCAAGGCAACCAGTTTGGAGTGGTTTAGTCTTTCTCCCATGATTTCTGGGTGTTCTTGCCCATAGGGTTTCTATGTCTGGAATTCATGACCTGACATGTCCTACAGGATTAGTTTCCCATAGAATTATACTCTGAACTCCCAATCAAAGGATTAATATGATTAACAATATGAAATATGAGATGACAAAATAATTCTCAATTCAAAATAGTAAAATTACTCAAATCTTATAAACATGTATTTATTACAGAAAATGTGCACTTTATTATAATGGGTCTAATGGGTATGGAGAACAAATAATTCTACATATCATAAATAAACACCACGTTTTATTAACAATGACACTGCTTGCCCTCTTAGAATTTCAGTATTTGGAGATAGGGAGGAGGAAGCAAAGGGGGAAAATTTACGTGGTCTGTGAAATTTTTTTCGCTAGGTAACTCTGTGGCAGTGAGAAGAATCTAAAAATTTTCCATTATCTTCTGGAGACGGGTTCAGAAACAGGCCATTTTTCAAAAATAACCAGCACACTTCCTTTCTTGGTACCGGATGGTGATCTAGCATCCTGGCAAACCATCAAATGGAGGGCATAAAAGTGGCAAAATCTGAAGTGCTAATTTTTACCATGCAAAATTAAATTAATGAAACGGGGGGAATTGTGACACGGTAAAAAGTCGTGAGACTCTATACCTTTACAGTAGCTCAAGTTTCATATCCGATTTAAGAATTGTAGACATACATTTTTTAACTGAAAATACATCTTGGTTATAATCCTTTAACTTGGCTAATTGCCATTTTGCTGAAGTTTTAGATAAAATATCAAACTATATTTGTAAATTTCTGAAGCATCAGCGCTTACTGAGCTTAATGAGAACTAAAGCTAAGCGTTAGGTATGGTATTTTCTAGTGTGAAAGAGTCTAGTGTGTGAAATCCCATATCTTCAATACAGCAGGCAAACAAAAACAGGTGCCTGCCTCTCTTCCTCCCAAGGCATGTGGGTAACAAGGTTAGGTCACATTAAAAAAAGTCTGAAAACTTATCAGAATGCCTCCTCATTAGGCAGAGTGGAAATTATTATTCACTTGTTACATCTGTAGTTAGAAATAAGAATTTACTGTAGCATCATACCTTCGCCTAATGGCAGAATCCAGAACCCAGGGTATGTTTGTAGCTCCCAGAACCAAAATTCCATCATTGTCCACACCAACCCCTGCATCAAAATATTTTAAGTAATTTATCATTTTAGTGTTCTTTAAACCTTGTCTATATGTTCTGGAAAGAACATGATGCTTTAACCTTAAAGTACCTCATTTTTAGAGTCTCTCTCTGAAAAAAAACTGTATTTAATCAAATATCAAATTACTAGGATCCAAGTATTCCCAAGTATCAAATCTCCTAGACTACGGACAAATACTATTATATTAATGTTGTTTTCAAAATATTTCAAGAAATTCCTTCAACTATTACATTTGAAGTCTACATATTCATTTTGCCGATACTATTCCTGGTACAAGTAAATATACGAATATACATCTCTTTACTATTATATGCATACCAGCAAGTTCTACAAGATGATTAAAACTAAGTAAAAATACGTATGCATCTGAAAGACAATACTACTGAAACACAGCATAATGAAACAGTATGTTAGAATGGAGAAATTCTGCTTGAGTTTTTTTCCCATTATTGTTATAGTAATGGTTATACAATAAACAGAAACTATTTTAGAAATCAGTGATAATACCTTGCATTTGAACCAGGAACTCTGTCTTAATTCTACGTGCAGCTTCACTTTCATTTTCACTTCTTGAACCACAGAGAGAATCAATTTCATCAATGAAGATAATGGAAGGTTTATTCTCTCTGGCAAGTTGGAATAAGTTCTTAACTAGCCTAAAAGTAAATAAAATCTTTCAGTTCCTAAAAAAATAGTTAATGACACATGACTTAATGAAAAGATGAAAACAAAACAATATACAATATTATAGGAACTCTATAGATTAAAATTCCTAATCATATTTTGGTCCAAAAAATAAGAATGCTAATTTACTTTACGATTTACTAAACTATACATATATGCATATTTCCCTATGAAACAAATTCCAAACAAGGGACTGATTTGACAGATAAATGATTATCTATATTATGTCACTTTCTGAATGTCTATTAATGATGTAAGAAAACTATTACTTTACAGGCTGATACAGTGACTATAAGGCAAATGAAACATAAGTCAATTTATCACTTACTTTTCACTTTCACCTAGCCATTTAGAAACAAGGTCAGAGGAAGATACTGAAAAAAATGTTGAGTTGTTTGCTTCTGTTGCTACAGCTTTGGCTAAATAGGACTTTCCTGTTCCAGGTGGCCCAAACAATAGGATTCCCCTCCAAGGTGTTCTCTTGCCTAAAATTTGCATTAGAAAATAAAATGAGAATTTCCAGACTGTTAACTTCAGTTACCAGAGACATTATCCATACTGAAGAATACTGTGAGGTCTGCACTCTAAAGCAATCAGTAGAATTAAAAAATTTTAAATAAATCAATCTAAGGTAAGTCTGAAATGTATTTTGTTTGTTCTCTTTAGAGACCACTTTGTCAAGTGTGTTTACATGGATATAATCCTTCTAACAGGAAGTTCATTCGCTTGCACACTCATTCATTCAACTACTACGTACAGAAACCACGATGTGCAGACAGAAAACTACGAATACAAAAATATTTCTGCCTTCCATGGCTCCGTCTAGTTCAGTTGAAAGGCACTCCTGACCACATGCCGTGTGTACTGCTGGATGTCAGAATACTGTCAGAGAAACTACTGGGTTGTCGGAAAAGTCATGATGTATTTTTGCAATAAAAAACATAGAAAAAAATAGGTCATGACTTTTCTGACAAAGCAATCTATCCATAGGGGAAGAGCAGCTGGAAATATTTTCTTTTAAACATTTATGACTTTTAGAGGAATGGAACTAACAGTTTGGGTGACTCCTTGTGAAGCTCTGTTCAATTTTTGATTCCACAAGAAGCACAGGTTATCATTACAGGTTAGCACACTCTCATTCAAATAGCTAGGTAATGACTAGGGGACTCTACCTTAAATACTAGTTTTGCCAAAATGTAACAACTGAACAAATCAACTTCTTGTATCTCAATTATGGTAATAAGAAATTAAAATGCTGCCTAAAATAAACTAGGCTGGGTTACACTGGCAATAAAATATGAAATAGACATTTAAAAGCCTGATAGTACAAACTGTGGATGGGAACAAAGTGTCTGCGAAAGAATGACACACGTAGATGACTAATGGCAAAATGAAACGGTTTTATTTTTTTTGAAAGCCTCACTTTTACTTGAACTCTATTTTCCTATTTTAAATGCCTGCAATTATAAGTCAGTGTTCCCTTAAGTGTGGTATATATACCATTGGTACAATATGAAGTGCTTTTAAGTGGTATACAAACATTTTTTATGCAAATAATTTATCTTCTAAATGTGTAGCAGAAAAACACTAATTTTTCCATTTATAGTAGACGGAAAGCAGTTTTCTAAAATAAAGTTACTAAGTAAAAATAAGGGAAGTGATTTAAAAGTTCAGATACGGGCAAAATAATCTGTGGTTGGCGAGAGAGTGATTACCTCTGGGAGGAAAGAGGCAGAGAGGAACTTCTGGGTTACTGATCATTATTTTTTTATCTGGTTGAGGATCACATAGGCGTCCCTGCCTTGTGATAATTTATGAATCTGAACACTTATGGGTTCCTGCATATTTCTGTATTTTATGCTGTACTTCAATAAAAAGTTTGTTCTAAAAGTGAGTGATTTAAAGAAAAATATTTTTAAAATAATTGTACATGTATATAAAAAATTCATCAAGACGATACATAAATGACTCATGTTTGGGAAACACTGGTATAAATAACTGAACATCAAATGAGTGTACCTTCATAGGATTATGATGTCACCTTTTATACTGTTTAATATTCCTGAGCTAGTCTGTAAGTTGTACCTTGAGGCTCGGTGGACACGGTGGTTTGCTCTTCATCATTGCTCAGTACATCCCTGCCTACACCTGTCCGGTGTGACGCCAACATCAGATTTGCTCTCTACATAGACCAGCTCGTTTTTAAAAGGGAAAACCTGTTCACTGTTAGACTATGGGTACAGCCAAATCACAAACACAGGCTGTCAGTCACAAAAAGGACAGTGGAAAGGGTTTGGCACAGATAAGTCACTCAGGGCTGGAGATGTAATTCAACTACATCCCGAAGATGGCTTAGCAATATTCTCACAGCGTAGTGAGCCGGCCTGCTGCTACTAAAGGAGACACACTTCATCAGAAAACATTAAATAATTCTTACTCTTCTTTTTAAGAAATGGAAATACTCCTATAAAACTAGCCCATGTCCATTACAAACAATTCAGATGCAACTCAAAAGAAAAAGTAAAAATCACCCATTTTATCGCCTAGGCATACATTAACATTTTTATGTCAATCCATCTACACTTCTCAGCACACATTTAGTTAACAACTGTGGAATCATACTACACATATTTTATAACTTGCTTTTTGATCTTTACACTACACAAGGACATTCTGCCATGTCAATTATAAAGCAGATGTAGGTTTCTTAATGTAGAGGTACGCTGTATTTTAAGGAGTGCGTACACAGTATACCATCGCATGTTGCTGATTTACCCTAAGCCCTGCTGGTTGACATTTAGGTTATTCTGCAGTATGGCTATTACAAATATGTATATGTAATAAGTACATTTATATAGTGCTATATCACCACCTTAAAATTTATTTAAGGTAATAACTCATGACACGGTGAGAAGAACTCACAATGCTTTACCTCAGTCATCAATGCAGTTGGAAAGTCATCAAAAAAATTACTTAAAAGTCATCTCACCTGTAAAAAGATGAGGAAATTTAATTGGCAATATCACAGCCTCTTTAAGTGCTTCTTTGGCGCCTTCAAGACCAGCAACATCACTCCATTTCACATTTGGACGCTCTATAACAATGGCACCTACAAAAAAATTATGTCATCTTTAAATGAGGGAGGACTATGCCATCAAATCTAGAAGACAGCATGAAATAATGACGTTAAAGAAACACATTATAAAATTGTGCAGAAAAGTTTTATTTATTGAAAACCTTTCTGAGCTGGCTGAGTGGCTCAGTTGGTTAAGAGCTTGCTCAAGAGTGCGAGCTCTGAGCAACAGGGTCACTGGTTCGATTCCTGGCCCGAGCTGAGCTGCCAACAGGTGACAGGATGGCTCAGCTAAAAAAAACAAAAAACGAAAAAAAGAAAACCTTTCTGAAAGAGTGTGATGAGGAAGTAGTTGTTAGGGAGTGGTCAGTAGGAGTCAGAAACCTGGGGTGGGTGGGTAGCTTAACCAGGGTAAGTCACTTTCCTCACTGTGAAATGAAAATAATATCACATGCCCAAAATACTGAGACAGGTTAGTGTGAGGGGCAAATGACGTAATAAAATACTAGAGTGTTTGGAAATGCATCAACATTACATTACATAAAGTGGTTATGTTTTAATGCACTAATTCAAGAGTATCGAAAGTATTTGTTCAATGAGGGTCGATCTGCTATTTCTCCTTTTAACCAAAAAAATCCCTCCCACCCCCCAAAAAAAAGCCCAAAACAAAAAACAACCAACACCACCAAATTGGTGATCTAATAGTCTCCTTTAACCACGGAAAGAAAATATACTTAACTTTATGATAGACAGATAGATGAACACACAGGTGGGAGAAGGGAAGGGAATGATGAAGAGAGAAAAAATGTCCTCTTGTAGATCTGCAATACTTTCCTGAGATTTGCCCAATTTTCTGTTTGGCTTTTAAATAGACTTATTTACAATTTTTGTACATTAAAAAGTTATTTAAATAACTTAGCTTTTGAGTATGTTATATTCAAAAGTCTTAGTAACTGTTTCAATAAGAGTTCACAAAAGATTTCTTTTAATATAGCTTATAGCAAAACTTTCTAGTTTATCTTTCATCAAAAGTGTTTCCAACTTTCCAGTATATAGAAATTACTCAACCACAACCTACTAAGCAGTCTGTTCTAAGGTGACGTGTAATTGTTTTAAGTATAACAAAACAACACCTCTTACAGTCTACTGATTACTTATGAAATTGGTTTTACGGGTGTTTTTTTCTTGCTAGGAAAGATCATTTATCTATTTTTCTAAGAGTAGATATACTCTGCAACTTCCCTAAATTATGAAAATCTTTAGTTATAGAGTAAAATAAATAAAACCATAAACACTTTTTGCATTCTAAAACTTCAGACTAAGTATGAATTAAGAAAGCAATTCACTTTTTCTTTTCCATGTTGTATTCAGATAATTCTAAATGAGAAAATACATCATCAGACAGGGTTTGTTTTAGTTAAACACAAGTAAATTTACTTTATATATAAGCAGCATCTGGTCAACTAAAATTTTTTGCTATGAATTTTCTAAGTATGCCATAATTTATCTTCACATTTAACTACTACTTTTTAAAAAAAAATTTTAAAAAGATTTTATTGGGGAACTGGGGGAGGGAACAGCGTTGGGGAATCGGGGAAGGGGAACAGACAAGTTGCTGTCCTTTTGTTCTTCAGTATAGTTGTGGAGGACGTCGCTTCACTGGCCCATGTTGGTATTATCATTGTGCTCTTCCTGGGTGAGGCAGTTGCTCGCCGGCCATTGGATGGCCGCTCACGAAAGCTCATGCCCACTGCTGGCCAGCCCCACTGCAGCCTACACTGTTTCCGGTGACTCACAGCAGCCCAACTCCACGTTGAGCTGTTGTTCATCACCTTAGCTGTAGAGGGTGCAGCGTCACTGGTCCATGTGGGATCCGAACCAGAGCCCTGCTGCTCAGAGCTGGCGTCCCAAGCCAACTCTTAACCAACGTGCCACTCAGCCAGCCCTAACTACTACTTTTTTTCTTAAAGTTTAAAGGTGACTGGAATTTTTTTTTTAGCTGAGCCATCCTGCCACCTGTTGACAGCTCAGCGGCAACTCAGCTCGGGCCAGGAATCGAAATGGCGACCCTGTTGCTCAGAGCTTGCGCTCTTGAGTGAGCTCTTAACCAACTGAGCCACTCGGCCGGCCCGACTTTAGAATGTTTAGTGACAAAATATTTTTAGATAAAAATATTCTTAATTACTAGACATTGCTTAATGATTTGTAAACTTAAAAAGGGGGAAGGGATTATTGGAGATAAAAGTCAAATAAGTTGATTGTTTCCAATTATATAAATTTACCCAGTCTTTGATTATACTACTCATTATACTAATATGTTGTTTAATCTCAAAAAAGTCAACAAATATCAAATTTAGCTAACAGAAAACTCAAATCATAAACTCTTTAATTTTAACCATCCAATATTACACTTAATGCTATAACCTAAAACTGAAGTAAAAGATTTAAAATGCTGTTTCAGAAACAAAGAGGAAAGTCTAAAAAAACATATTATACAATGAAATCCATCAGCAAACCATTAAGTTAAAAGATGGAAAAAAAGGACTCAAGATATAAAAGGCTTGGATTCCTTTCATGTTCTACATCATCCTGATATTCCAAATAAATTTCCTCATTTAAATGTTTTACGCATTTCTATTTTTATACATCTCTGGTCCTTGTCATTACTGATGTTCAAAGACAAATTCCCTATTAAAAACTGGGTTGTATTGTTTTCAAAATTAAAGATATAATCCAATTTTTACTTGGGGGTGTGGCAGGGCTGAAAAGAGAGGGATACACACTACAACTAAAAGAACAGATAGAAAAAAGCTTTTTGCTTTACAACTGAAATAAGACCACTGGGTGGCCCGACAACACTTACTGAGCACGAAATGCGTGGCCCCACTACTCTAGGAAGTGGAGGCTCAGTTTCTGTGCTTGGACTACATCTTCTGTTGAAGTTCTCGGTACATAAAAATATCCTCATTTAACTGTAGAATACTATCCTTACAGTATTCTCCTATGCATCCCAGTGGGGTTGGTGAGACAGAAATACTATTACAAAAATGAAGCCTAATACAGCAAGGTTCAAGGTCTGGCCAAGCTAGGTATAGTCACCCTTCACTACCAAAGCTGAGCCTATATAATGGAAATCCACCCCGGCTTTGCATTCTATCTGGCAAGATTTAAATTAACAAAATACATAAAATTCAACTCGAAACATCATTAGCTCACATCTCAAAGAACAATCTAATCTCAGTAACTAAAGACGACAGCCATTAAATAGATGACTTTTTAGATATACTAAGGTAGCATTTGTTGAGTTCCTAGAATTTGTCAGATATAGTATTAAGCAGTTTTTATACTGTCTTTATATCTTTATAAAAGATAAAAATCTTTATTAAAGATAAAAACCTTTAATAGCCCTGAAAGGAAAATATTAATTTTCATTTTGGAGTTGGGCTCTCAGACTCTGAGGGAACTTGCCCAAGATTTAAGTAGCTGACCTGGAGTGGAATCCAGATCTGAAAGAGCCAAAATCTATCCCCCTGCATCATGCCACTAGGCTACAGTAGCGGAGAACGAAAGGGCTTGACAGGTGTGGAAGGCAAAAACAGAAAGTGGGAAGAGATAACTGGAAATGGCAGCACTGGAATAGGCTAAAAAAGCAGAAAGGAAGAGCCGGTAGGAAATATGAAATAACCGACTAATGAATAAGCTACAGCAACAGCAAGAAAAGCAGAGTGTAAGTCCTAATTCATTCTGCTCCTCCGACACGTAATTTTAATACCCTCAGACTTCGTAGTTTGTGCACATTATAAATGCTACCTTCTCTAAATAAGACAAAACGAAAGAGAAATTAAGTTGACTGACAGACTTTTAAAGGCAGATATAAAACCAAGCAATATTTCTACTACATGGAAAAAACAAAAAAACAAAAAACAACCCATTAGAGACCCTATAGAGCAAATTCTACAAAAACAGTCTCCACAAAGCCAGCATGTGACTGATTACTGGAAACTAAAGCCAGTCCTTGAGCCTCATTTAAATACAGGGGTGAAAGAAAGCAAATCAAATAGACAATTCATTATGAGGTTTGTTTTTTAAATAAAATAGTAAATTTAGAAATGAAATCTAAAGCAACCTTGAAGTTGATTCTGTAGTTTCTTTTTTTCAGGGTCATCAGATTCTCCTTCCCCATCACTGTCATTCCTAATAAAAAGAATTTAATATATTCAAACGATCACTCATTGCTATCAAAATAAGGCAAAAATGAAGGAACAATTAACTTGAAATATTTGTAATTTAAGTGGCAAAATAAGACATTCACATTAAAATTTATGCGTATTACTTTTATGATACATTAGCTATTAAGCAGGAGTACTACCCACCAATATGGAAATAAACAGGAAAGAGGCAAAAAGTCCAGGATGAAGTCAGGCACTAGCTCTGAATTCCCGACATACCTATGTATGTGTTAACTAATAAATGCATGCCCCACACTGCATTCCACAAAAAGATTTAAGATGAATTACAGGAAAGTTGTAAACAACAATAAAAACACCAGGACCAGGAAACCACATATAGAACAAGAAGCCATAACTAGAAGGGGAAAACCCAACATTAATTAAGGTATGAAGGTCTATAACCCTTAGTTTGGCGGTTCCAAAGGATGGGTGAAAAGTTCTGATGAATATGAACTGAGCCCAAAGAACAACCTGGACATTTCATATCTAGGAATTTATTCTGAGGAAATCATTTTAAATGAATTCAAGGACTTGACTCCAAGGATAATCATGCCAACACTGTTCAAAACAGGAAAAACATTAGAATTATAGGGATTAGCATATGATAGAACTGCCTTATTAAAAATAAGGCAGTTATTTTTAATGTAGAAATAGTTTACTGGAAGATGTTCATAACACAATATTGAGTGAAAAAGTGATAAAAGCAAAAAACAGGGCATCATATCATTTTCAAAATACAGAGGGTGCCAAAAAATTTGTATATATTTTAAGAAAGAAAAAACTATTAAAATTGTAATACTCAATATACACTGATAACAAAAGATGGATACAAGTCGAGTGTATACATTTTTTTGGCACTCCAGGTGTGAGACATAAAGGTAGATTAAAAGCCTGACAGGTTTCATCCCCAAATGGGATCGCCCTGGTTATCAGAGGATGGTGGGGTTACAGGTAAGGTAGAACTGCAAACTGATTCCCTTGATCAAGCTCACTCCTCTTCCAACCTCCTCTATCACGCTTGCTTGTGCAGTAAAGGCTGTACTTACAAACACTGCCCTTCTTAGACTCCCTCGCACCTAGGGCTCCACGTGACCAGTTTCTCCAAGGAAGCAAGCAACTCAGGTGGGGGCTGCACACGAGATCGTGCAGGTGAAAGCACTGGCTTTGCTGAGGGAGCTGTGGCAGAGGTCCCACTGCCCGCTCCTGGCAACGGAAGTAATTGGCATGGGAGCTGGCAGCAGTGGGTCTCTACCCGAATGACCCCCGAGGAGCTGGGCATTTCTCTTAGCAGTTGGAATCCAAGCTTGATTCTGGGCCCCTAAATTCTGTAAGGTGATACACTGTAGTGAGTCCCTTTCTGTTTCAATTGGCCGAAGTGGGTCCTGCTGTTCAGTTCAGGAGGCCGGGCATCCTCTTGCCAGGTAGCCACTCAGTAGAGATACCACAGGGTCTTCCAGCCAGACCAGGAGAGCCTCCGTTCCCAGGGAGGAGGGGACGTTTCTGTTGGCAAGGTGGTTTCGGGAGAGTCGAAGGTCCAGGCACTCGAGGTCAAGGGAATTCTTCCCAACAGTTGCATCTTAAGTTTAGACTCCCAGTCTTCCAATAAATGCCCCAACTTTTATATAAGAAACCTCGTGAAACTGAATCTCTGTTGAAATTCAATGATCCACAAGATCAGCTGGGGTCTGATTTTTGTTAAGTCAATGCTGTAGCTGCAGAAGATAAAACATTCTTAGGAGTCTCAGAAACTCCCTGGTCTTGAACAGAGAATATAAACCTGGACCTTCTAATTTTCTTCAAGCGCTTCCATGTAGTTGGAAGCAGCTAGTGAGCTCTAGTTCTTGTATTGCTCATATCCTTCAAAATGGTAGCAGTCACAAAGCCTCTGAAGCACTGCCTTCAAGGTACTCTCCATTCCTGGTGACCACAGGGGATTACTAAGTAACTTGTGCCACTGTGAACCCTGAACTGCGAGTATCACATCCTCTATAGCTAACCAGAGCCTCATGCCTTCAAACCTGACCAGGCCACATAACCCCATCCCAGAGTTTCATTTTCTTAGAGTGTTGTCACCTGGAACCACTTCCGGCACCGATCAATACAAAGGTCAGAGAGTCTTCATAGAATTTGTTCCCACTGCTCAACACAGAGCTTGGCCCGCACGCACTGAATAAGAAGCTCTGTATCTGTAAGCGATATACCCCCCATTCGGGACATTCCAAAGCTGGGTTTTGATGTTTATAAATTATGCTGTGTTCATTTCTTTACAATGACAAAATAAAAGCAAATCTAAAACAAATCCACATTTAAGAACTTTACATAAGATACCCAAAAAATTATTTACATTATTGGAGCTATTTTTTATGTTGTCCATGCGGTTAGTACCATGAGTCGCTACTACTAGTCAAAGACTTAATTCACAGATCACTCCTATAATTTTAAACTCCAATATTACATAATGGCCTGAGGGTGAAGAATTGAGTCCCATTCCTACAAATGCTTTTTCCTACTACTAAGTGATCAGGGAGGGTCATTTGAAGTATATCATCCCCTAAGCTTGGTACACTAGAGGTCAGCAAACTTTCTCTGTAAAGGACCAGACAGTAAATGTTTCAGGTTTTCTGGGTCATACAGTCTTTGTTGCAACTACTCAATTTAGTTGGTATAGCACAAGGATCAATGAACTGTGGCTTGCAAGCCACATGCAGCTCTGTGGGTACGTACACGTGGCTCTGAAGTAAACTGAAAATGAAAATAAAACTATCATAATTTCATTTATAAAATTTTTACCCCAATAAAATTAAAATAAATAAATAACAATTTTAAAGGATATTATTCATATAATGGTGATTTCATTTGTTTTAATGGCTCTCAAATAACTTTTTTGTTTTGTTTTGTTTTGAAAGATTGTACTGGGGAATTGGGGGAGGGGAACAGCGTTGGGGAATTGGGGAAGGGGAACAGATAAGTTGCTGTCCCCTTTTTGTTCTTCAGTCTAGTTGTGGAGGATGTCACTTCACTGGCCCAAGTTGGTATTATCATTGTGCTCTTCCCGGGTGAGGCAGATCGGTCGCAGACATTGGACAGCTGCTCACAGAGGCTCACAGCAGCTCACGGCGGCTCACAGCAGCTCACGGCGGCTGCCGGCCGCTCACGCTGGCTGCCAGCCACTCACAGTAGCTCATGGCAGCCCATTGCAGCTCCACTGCAGCCTACGCCATCGCTGGCGACTCACAGCAGCCCAGCTCCAGGATGAGCTGTTGTTCACCATCTTAGCTGTAGAGGGCGCAGCGTCACTGGCCCTCATATGTGGGATCCGAACCGGGGCCCTCTGGCGTCCCAAGCCAACTCCTAACCAATGCACCACTCGGCCGGCCCTCAAATAATTTTTAAATTGTTGTGAGGGACAAGGTTGCCTCCTCCATCTCAAAAGTTTGCCAACCCCTGGTATAGCACAAAAGCAACTATACACAACAGGTAAATGAATGGGTGAGGTTCTAGCCCAATAAAACTTTATTTACGACAGGCAGCAGGTCAGATTTGGCCCTGAACCATGGTTTGCCAACACCTAGTTTAAACAAAAGAAATTCATTCCACAAATAAATTTTAATTTTATCTTTTAATCAATGTAATAAAATCTAACCCTCTAAAATACATACCCCTTCTCCTCAGGTGGACTCGGCTGTCCCTCTTTCACCGGCTTCTGTGGTTTCTTCTCTGTCTTTTTCAGGTACTCCTTTAGTTTTTCTGCTCTATCCAGATATTCTGTACACTTTGCCCTGATACTTTGCTTGGCTTTATCACCCTGTGCTTCATCTATTGAAGAGAAATGAGAGAGATTTTTTTCTATTAGCATTCTGCACATACAGGTTTAAGCTCTTAGGTATACTTTTAAACAAGGAAAATCTATTTTGGGGGGGTGCGGGGGGAGGAAAGAAGATCATCTCTAGTTCATCGTAACCAAGGATTACCGACTCTTTTCTACTCCTTCCTCCAGCAGGATGGAGACCAACAGTGGGTGTGAGTCAGGAAGATATCTGAGCAATTCCCTAAGACATTTAAGTTAATGTTAAATAAAAAGAAGAAATTATTTAATCATCTGTGGGTTTCATACTCTTCCCTTACATTTGGTGCAGGATAGTTGAAAGCTGCTTGTTTCATACAAAACCAACTATAAGACAAACAGAAGTAAAACAATATTAACCGTTTCCACTACTGTCTACATAAGCTTTATTTCCAAGTATAAAAAGTGACAGAAACCCCATATATTTTGTGTACCACCAATATAGTAATTTTACTACACACAGGCCTCTGTAAGCGCTCTCTGAAAAGTAGACTTCAGCAATATATGCAGCGCATGGGATTAGCCCCACGTGCCTTATATGTTAGGATTCATTCTTAGTTTTACTTTAACCTGACAGAAAAATCTCAAAACTAAATGGGGAAGCTCAAAAGAAAATGCTAACTTATCCAAATGCTAACTTTTAAAAAATAACTTCACGTTTACCAGGAAGATGTCTTTTTAAACATCTTACTTCACTATATTCAGCATTAGGTTTAAGATGCACCATTTCCCCCCTCACTGCTGTATCCTGAGCCTGGCAAATGGTAAACATCCAATATTTGGATAATACATGAAAAAAATGTTTCCCAACCTATTTTGCATAAAATACCAAAAACAGTATTTTCAAACAGATGCTTAGAAAATGAATAGGTTCAGATAATCTGGGTACACAACCAATAAAATAAAAACTTATTTCCATTGACTATGACACTTTGATATGTTCAGTATGCAGAGTGATTAACTGTAATAGCTGTGTACACTGGTGAGCTGAGCATCTAAAGCCCATCTAGACTGACCACTAGGAAAGCTAGTGGGATTTTGCTTTCTTTTTTCTTTTCTTTTTTTTCTTTTTGCAAATTGATAGTTTAGAATTTCCTGGCATCGTATTTCAACTTTTGTAAATGAAATAAGAGTAATTTTTTCTTTTAGAGTTTTTAAATACAAAACAAACTTTGTCCTTACATTTAACTACATGGAGAAAATACTGCACAGCATGTTGGTAGAGCTGAAGGGCTTCCTCATAGTTACCAGCCTTGTCTTCCTGGGCCGCTTTGCTGGCAAGATCTATCGCTTTCTGTTTGAAGAGAGGCAAAATAATACCATCAAAATCAAAGTGTAAGTGTAAGTTTGAAGTAAATAATCATATGGAAAAAATTTTTAAATAAAATCAACCTTAAAACAAATCTATCTTTTCTTTCTAAATCACAATAGCATTTTATTATAAATTATATCTATTTGTAAAATGCAAATTCAATTTGTTACATGGGTAAATGCTATCTGAATACAACTTTATCTGGTACCAATGGCTAAGACTGTCACACAATTTTCACTCAACGAAAGTGAAGCTTAGGGCTAGTACGGAAAATCAAATAACCTGAAAATTCAAATTAAAAGCATTTAGGGAAATTCTCAGAATCAAATAGTGCTCTATCTAAAACATAACAATAGTAAAATGTAAATGGGGTAAAAGCCCATTAGAAGCAACAGGGCAATGAAATATTGAGAATCAGAAAAATACCCCAATCTTTTAACCCATTAATTAACTAAAAAGTTTAATGAGCAGAGATAGTAACCAGAGGATCTTTTGAAAAACAAAAACAAACCTTGGTAACTTAAATTTTAAACAACAAAATGATGTCACACAATGGAAAATTATAGGATCATTAAAATGATATTAAGAAACATTTGTAAAAATATGGAACATGTTTATAATGGAAGTTTTTCAAAAGTAAGATACAATTTTTACATGTAGTACAAGTTCAACTACTATTTGAAACAAAAGGGAAAAAAAACAAACACAGGAAAAAGATCGGAAGGAAATTTAACAGAGCTTATCTTATAAGACTTAATTTTTTCATTTTCTATGTTTCACATCTTCTAAAAATGTTCATAATGAACATGGGTCACTTTTGAAGTATTTTTTAAGAAAACTCCAAGAAATAAATCCATACACATACGTCCAACTGATGTTTGACAAAGATGAAAAAGCAAGTAAATGGTGGAACAACAGATAGGCTTTTAAAGAAATTGTGTGGGGACAACTGGATATCCATAAACATACAAAAAAAATTTTTAAAGGGAAAGAGACCTAGAACCTCAACCTAAACCTCACACTTCGTACAAAAATGTATTATGGACTTAAATATAAAATGTAAAACTATGAAATCTTAGCTCTTAGACTTGACATCAAAAGCACAATATATAAAAGGAAAATTGATAAATTGGAAGTTACAAAACTCCAAAGCTTTTGGTCTATAAAAGATCCTGTTAAAAGGATGAAAAGACAAACTACAGACTGGTAGAAATATTTGCAAATCACATATCCAGCAAAAGAGCAGTATTTGCATATGTAAAGAACTCTCAAAACTCAACAGCTAAAAAAGAATCCAAGTAGAAAATGGGCTAAACACATGAACAGACATTTTACCAGAGGATATACAGATGGCAAATATACACATGAAGTTACTCCACATCATATGTCATCAGGGAAATGCAAATTAAAACAACAATGAGATATCACTACACATTTATCAGAATGGCTAAAATGAAAAATAGTGACAATACCAAATGGCGGTGAGGATACACAGAAACACTCACTCATATATTACAGGTAGCATGTAAAATGGCACAGTCACTCTGGGAAACTGGTTTGTTTTCTACAAATCTAAACATGCAACTACCATAATAGGAACCAGCAAATGCACTCCTGGGCATTTCTCCCAGAGAAATGAAGACTTATGTTCACAAACTTGTACATGAATGTGCCAGATGTCTGTCAACAACTGCATGATAAACAAACTGTGGTACATCCGTATCACTGAGTACTACTCAGTAACAGAAAGGAGCGAACTACTGACACACACAACTTAGATAAACCTTGAGGGAATTATGCTAAGTGAAAAGGACCAATCCCAAAAGGTTAAATACTTTATAATTCCATTTCTGTAACCTTTTCAAAATGACAAAACCAGCAATGGAAAACAGGGTAAGGATGGTGGTGGTGGTGGTGGTAAGGGAGGGGCGGGCGAGGGAAAGAGGTGACTGTGCTTATAAAAAGGCAATAGGGGGATCTCTGTGGATAGATTTATTCTGTATCTGACCGTAGTGGAAGGTACATGAACCTGCACGTGACAGAACTCTACACACACACACACACACACACGTGTAAGGCTGGGAAAAGCTGAACATGTCTGGTAGAAGGTATCCATGTGCACACCCTGGCTGTGCTATTGTACAACCGTTCAACAGATGCTCCCACGTGGGCACCCGGGGAAAGAGTTCCCAGGATCTTTGTGTTATTTCTCACAGCTGCATACGAATCTATAAGAAAAATCTCAAAATAAATTTTTCATTAAAACTATCTTTAATTTTTAAAAATATACGCACACACAAATAAAGAACAAGCATGGTTTATTAAAACATTCCAACCAGACTAATTTAAGTGGTAAAAGTGTATTCAACAGACATAAAAGCCAGGAGAAAAAAAATGATCGAGGTTATGCTATATTAAAAATAAGCATATAATTATGGTTAAGAAAAAATTACTGAAACAATTGCAAAACCAATACTCCTATGTAAGAGTATTAGATTTTGAAGCACGTTCCCATGGATTGCACATAGATGGGCTGCAAGCTGTAAACGGGATGAGCAGATCTTCACTGGAGCACCACGCATCCTGTGTTGTAGCAAGAGGGAAGAAAAATCACGTGCTTTAAAATTGATAAAGTGTGGAAGTTACATGTTTCCAAGTTCAAACAGCCAGAACTTAAAGCTAAATTTTAAAAGGTTAGGTAAGGCGGGCAGGGCGTGAAGGGTAGAGTCACAGCACACGGTCACCTGCTCATATAAAAATGCATCCGGAAGGTTCAGTGGCTCCCCTTCGGCAGAAATAAGTGCTTTCTTATTCTGGCTGTAATTTTCTTCTCTTATTATTTTGAATTGCTGTGCCACTCACCTCCTCGGCCATGCAATCCCTTCCTTTGCAGTCAGCCCTCTTGAAGGCACTGCGCTGACATTTATTCAAGTAAAACGCTTACAGTCAGTATTTAATAACCTAGCTCCAAATATGGCCCCAGGAACTTTCAACTAGTTTTCTCGGATGATGGACATGTTGGTATCTGCACTGTCCAATATGCAAACCACTAGCACCCTATGGCTTTTGAGCATTTGTGGTTAGCGTGACTGAGGAGTGACTTTTAAATTTCCTTTGAGTAAAAACTAAATTTAAATGGCCTCAGGTAGTTAGTGTCCTGGAAAGTGCATGTTAAACCTTCCATCAAAGATGACGGTTTGAGGATGTGCACCTGTTTTCCCCCACTTTACCCTTGTTTGTTAGCATTTTTCTTTTGAAATGAAATTAACTGTCGTGGATGGTTTGGGAGTGCTAACAATTCTTTCAGAACAGAGTCCTGATCATCTCCATGGCTACCATCCGAGTTCAGTGCACTATCACATTTGTCAGAAGGGCTGCCTCGCCTCCTCCCCGGTCAGCCTGCTCTCACACAAATGCCATCCTACTGTCCGACAACAGCTTGCTTGATGGCTCCCCCACAAACAAGAAAACCCAAACGCTGGGTCACGATCTAGAAGGCCTTAAATGGTCTGGGCCTGGCTCCATCTGGGTGTCACCTGAAATGCTCCAGTCCTCCTTCACTCCGGCGGCCTGAGCACTGTTGATCCCTCTGCCTACAAGGCTCTTCCCCCAGATGGACACGGGGGTCTCCTTTTCAGTCCCAATGCAAATGGCAAGTCTTCAGAGAGGCCCGGCCTAGTCTCCTATTGCAAAAGCACACTCCATCCCTGCTGTCAGCTCTCCCCTCACCTCTGCACTCTTATCCCATCACTGTGTCTATCATTATGTTTACCTGCACACTCACTCACTGGCTAGCTCCTTTTATATAAAGGCAAGCTTCACGAGGACAGGAACTTCACCCGGAGCACTGCTTTATCCTCAGAGCCTAGAACAGTGCCTGGCACACATGGATACTCAATAAAATTGTTGAACGAATTTTATAAGCAAAAAAAAAAAACAAACAAAAAAAGAATCCTCTATCACTTTGTCAAAATCTTCCTTTTGGTTATTCCATTTGTCATCTCTAACAACAATTTTCTCTCTGCTGGACATTTCCATAGGTGTACAAACAGCCCTCCTTTAGAAAATCCTTTGGAATGAAAACACTCTGCAGCTTAGTTCTGTGTCTCTGCTACCTTTTTAGAGCCACAATCTCAGCAGAGCAGCCTCTACTCTTTCTGGTTGCTTTCCCCCCCCCTTACCCTTCAGCTCTGCTCATCTGGTCTTCTGACCCTTATCATATCAACACACTGCTCATATCAAGGTTGTCTATGATGCCAGATCCAAAGGCCAGCTCCATCTTCATCTTGATCTCTTGACAATATTCTACAAAATCTCCAAAGCACCACCTTCCAGTTCTCCTCCCACCTCTGATGGCTCCTGCTCGGTCTCCTCTGCAGACTCTTCCTCTGGCACACAATGCTGAAATATTAGCGTTCCTCAGGGTTTGGGCAGGGGCTCACTTCTTTATGATTAGTCCCTCCCTATGTAGTCTGTTTTCCAGGATTTAAGCTGATTATCTTTATGCTGATGACTCCCAAATTTATTCAATTTTAAAACACATCACTCTTCTGTTTAAAATCCTTCCAGTGCCTTGTTTCTGTGCGTGTGGGTTTGGTTCTATTTTTGCCTGTCCTCTCCCATTAGAACATAAACTTCATGAGGATGGAGATATGTCTATTGAGTTTACTTTTTTATATTCCAGAGTCTAGCACAGAGGCTGGCACAGATTGAATGAATATATTACCCCACGATGAGTCAGGACCCTAGTCATCAATATGGAAGTATAAAGGTTGGGCACATCTTTTTCAGATTAGGAGACGATAACATGTCCACACCAGAAAACCCTGGGAAACTAGGTAAATTCTAGAATCACCTATTTCAGGAGGAAAGAAGTCCCAGACCCTGCCTGTCAAGGCTAATTCTTTTCCCTGGGCTCTGGAACCCATCCCCACCTTCTTCCTGTGACATTTACTCCATCAATTATGAGACACTTGACTGTTCTCCCAACCAAGCCTTTCCCTTCTTGTTGAGGCCTTCCTTCTTCAGCATAAAAATCTACGTAAATTCTACCTTAGTCATATTTTCAAAACACAAACGAAAACACACCAGTTCTCCTCAGTTCCTAGGTTCTCTCTAACGACCATCTTACTACCTTTTCATCTCCACAGCAAAGTCCCAAAGAGAACCCCGAGTTCATCTCCGTTTCTTCATTCCTCCCACATCAACGCTTCCTGCTCCCCAACTGCCTAGCTCCCTCTACATAGCAGCATTTAACCCGAATAACAGACACCTCGCTGGGGCCTCCTCCTTTGGCCCTCATGGCACTGTTCTCTCCTGGTTTTACTCTTGACTGTGTAACGATTCTTTTTCGGGCTCCCCTTTCTCTCTTCCTACATGTCGATATTCCACAGGGTTCCTACCTTGGTCCCTGTTTTCCCCCCTTCTATAAATTCTTCAAGATGCCCACAACCTCTGCTACCATCTGTATGCTAATAACTCCCAATCCTCATTTCCAGTCCAACCCTCTCTCTCTGGTTCTACACATCTGTATCCAATTACTCACTGGCCATTTCCTCTTGATTGTCCCCAAAGGCACTTTAAACTTAAGTTTAGGACCACCCTGGTCCTAAATATATCACCCTCTTCTTATAATCCCAGAACCAATTCCTACCCACTCAGATAGCCAATCTAGGAATCTAGAACAGGGGTCGGCAAACTTCTGAGATGGAAGAGTTGCCAAAGTCAGCAAACTGCTGCTCGCGAGCCGCAGGCTCTGAAGTAAAATTGAAAATGAAAAGAACGCTATCATAGTTTCATTTATACAATTTTTAAAGGACATTATTCACCTATTGGTGATTATGTAAAAATAAATTTATGGCTCTCGAATAATTTTTAAACTGTGAGGGACAGGACTGGCTCTTCCAGGGGTCGGCAAACTGTTGAGATGGAACGTACCCAAAGAGCCACATGTGGCTCATGAGCCGCAGTTTGCCGACCCCTGGGCTAGAAGAAAACCCAGGCTCCCCGTCCTCCCTCCCTTTCTAAATGCAGATCCAAGTCTGCCTATTCTTCCTCTTCAATTTGTGTCTGACTAATCCTTTCTTCTTTATTCTAATAGGCACTACTCTACTTTGGCCCTCACTCCTTCCCATCACACAGAACCCTGCCTAAGTGGTCCCTGTACGCTTGCTAGTTTTGTCCTAAAACAACACCCTGAGCATATTACCGTCTGACTCCCAGCTACAGCAGGCTGAGGACCAATCATCTCTGTGTGGCACACACCTTTCCTCGTGACATGCTCCCACTTTGCACACTCAGCTCCTGTCCTACCAAACTACCGGGACAACCCAGACGACTCAGACTTCAACCCCCAGTGTACTCTCCACCTGGAATACCCGATCCCAGTCTCCCTGTGAAGCTCCAGCTTCTCTGAGGCTCAGCACACATGGTCCTCCTGCTGGGAAGCCCTTCCCAACACCCACAGGTGGTCTATTCTGTGCTTCCTCTAGATTTCCACAGCCTCTTGGACGTACTTCCAATGATCACACAGTATTCTATGAGTCACTTTACACGTGACTAATCAAAATATAAGCCCTTGGACATCAGGGCTGGTATACTTCTTTTCTGATTCCCTGAGACTTAGCAAAATGCATGGCACACTAGACACTCAAAAAAATATTTAGTTTGAGTAAACTTTGAGTTCTCTGCACCCTGCATTACTTGCAATTGTTCCCAACCCTCTCCAACCAAGGTTTATTACACTTCTGGACTGAGGCATATGTTGTTTTTCTCTGCCTGGAATGAATCCCACTTTCTTGTCCAAAAAAGCATAACTTTGTAGTGGAAAAAGTCCAAACCTGTAAGCACACAGACCTGGATTCAATATTATCTTAAACATTAATTAATTAATTGTACGTCGTTGGGAATATCTAACCTTAATAAGCTTTGGTTTCTTATACTGAAAAATTGGAATAATAGTCACCTTGAAGAGCTGTTTTGAGGATTAAATGAGATCACACATCAAACACCAGGTAGATAATTGTCAGTACCTTTCACTTATCTAAGCTCACAATCACCTCCTCTGTGGAACATTTCTCATTTATCCTCAAAGAGTTAGATATGCCCTTCCTTTCTGCAGTCCCACACTAACTTCTAATTCTACTGCAGCATTTACTGCATTATTCTATAATTTTGATTTGTAGTTATCTGCATTCCTCCATTAGACTATAAGCATTTGGCTACAGGAATTTTTTTTGCCTTGTTTGGTGGGAAGGTTATTCGTTACTTGAGTATTTTTCATCCAATTTTCCTAGGTTGGAAGGTTGAAAAGGTTAAATGAGAAAGTACACCTGTGAACCATCCACTACTAGAATTATAACTCAGTATTTCTCCCTGTTTAACACTAGCAACTATGCCTTTAATATGCCTTTAATATGGGTCGATCTCTACCTGATTCACTTGAAGCACATCCAACAATCCAATTCAAATATGATGCAAACTTATTACAGAAATGAAAATCTCCCAAAAGAAAAACAGTATCAATAACTGGATGAAAATTATGTTGCAGAATGCCCAAATCACATACAAAGTTTGACAAATGAAGGGCTGGCGGAATAAAACTAGTTAGTTAACTGGCAAACCAACAAGGATGATGACAAGATGGGCATTTCAAAAGAAATCACCTTTGATACACGAAGGAACAATACTTTTATCAAGTGATCAATATTTTTTTCCAAGTATGTTTATCAAAAGACCCTTTCTAAATGGGGCTACAAAAAAAAACTATCATTAAGGTTGTTGTATTATACTTAATAAAATCTTGTTGGAAAATATACACAAATCGACATGACTCATTCATTATTCTAAGAAAATAGGTCGCAGTTGCAAATTTAATATTTTGTGAAAGATTAGAAACATTCATTTTCATAATCTTTTGGGTGGATTTGCAAGATAAAAGTTCCAAGCAAGCCCTCTCCCCCTCCACTCTTTCTTGTGAAATTTTAGTCTCTACATAAATGAGTCTACTTTCAGAGGTCTTTCTTCAGGATCAACAGTCCTGGGTTAAGCAGGTCCTCCTGTACCAGGCACTCAATAAATGCATTTTAGGGCTGATGGAGTGGCTCAGTTGGTTAAGAGCGTGAGCTCTGAAGCAACAGGGTCGCCGGTTCAATTCCCACATGGGCCAGTGAGCTGCCCTGGGCTGCCAACAGGCGGCAGAATGGCGACTGGACTTGGAGCTGAGCTAGCTGCGTCCTCCACAACTAAGACTGAAGGACAACTTGGCTGTTCCCCTTCCCCAATTCCTCAATAAAAATCTTTAAAAAAAATTTTTTAAATAAATAAATGCATTTTAACGAATTATTGCAAGATTAAGACAAGGATTCAATACAGGTATTCCATTCTAGTCTTTGGTCCCAAACTGACCTCGGAAACTGGGTGTCCTCAAGGCCAAGTCAATCCTCTAAACCCCACTGACGCCCCAGATCCATTCCAAGGATGGGAGACACTTTCAGAGATTTCTCTTCTCAATGTCCATTCCACAGAGGTTTAACGATTAAGTATAAAATCTTAGGATTCCATGATTTACGTACAAAACACCATGATCACTGCGGTGGGAGTGGGGAGGTGGGGGAAAAGACTAATTTAAAAATATTCCCTGATCTTAGGTACTATGTTTGGGGAGCCATCGGAGAGTGCACGTAAACACCTATGATCAATGAATTCGGGGGTTCTTCAGATTCCAAGGCTGTCCTCACGTTTCTATTCACCTGACAGCTCGAAAAGAAGGGCTCTGCTCTACCAACTTGAGAAACTAAGAACTAGGACCCTTTTTTCTACTGGTCCAGAGCTTTGCCAACATCACGTTCTTTCCATTCTCCCTCACGCTGACTGAAGCATCCGTTCACAGCTCTGCCCAGTTCGGTTCAAACTCGGCTGGTTTGAGGGTAAAAGGGGGGCTTCAACAAAAAATCAAGAGTCTCATAAAGCACATGCATGGGCTTGGGAGACCCCGAAAGCAAGGGGGACACACTGGACTTTCCCACCTACGGCTGGGCAAGGGCGCCGCCCTCCTCCGCCCGCACCCGGGGCGCGGCCGCTTCCTCGCTCCTCCCCACCCCCNCCACCCCCGCCCCACGCCTCCCCTCGACTCGGGCTCTCCAGGGGGAGGGAGAATAGTCCTACCTGGAGGTTGTTGGCGGTGGATGCCATGGCGGATATCCGAGGCGGATCCCTGGAGAGGAACGAGAGAAGAGGACCAACAGCGGCGACGGCGAGGCGCGCCTGGTGTAGCCTCCGACGTGCGCAGGCTGGTGCCGCGGCGACCCCCGAGCAGCGGCCTCCCTTCCGGAACTTGTTCCAAAACAACACGGCGCTCCCAGAGCCGCCAGAGCCTCCTCACAAAACTTCCGCAATCCCGGAACCCTCTCCGGGCTCAAGTCCCGCCTCTGGCCGCAGCACTTCCGCCTTCGTCATCAGCACGCGCGCGACCGAGTCCCGAGCCGTCTGGGTCTCGCCTCCGCCCAGGGTATCGCGAGGCTGCGAGAGGCGTCCCTGAAGCCCATCGAGGCCGGGCGGAAGTCAGGCTGGGCGCGGGTGCCCTGCGGCGCCCGCGGGAGGGCGCGGAGGCTACCATAAGCCTTATTTATTTATTTATTTATTTATTTATTTTTATCTGGGTGTCTTACGTTTTAAGATTAATTGTTGGCGCAGGCTCCATGCGCTGTCGCTCTAAAGATTTTGAGTTGAAAAAAGTCATCCCATGTCCAAGGCACACCGGTTGTGGGACTTTGGGCCCGTTACGGTGCCTCGTTTATTGTTTCCTCTGTAAAATGGGGGTGATTATAGTATCTGCCTCAGGGTTGTAGCGAATGCTAGTCGTCCGGATAAGGCGCCTAGCACAGTGACGGGGGAACGTTAAGACCTCAGTACCTGTTAGCGCTTGTTACTGTTCACGCTTTACCCTTGATCCAACAAGCCTTTTTACAAATGGTTATTGTCATGACTCTGCGAGGCCCTGAGAATATTAAATGAGACAAGTGTGGCTGCTGCCCTGGAGGAGCTTACAGTCTGGTGGGGACGCAGACGCATGAATACAACAAGCCTTGTGAAACTGGTAGATCAGATACTGTTTATACCAGTGCTGACAAGGAAGGCTAATGGTTTGAGAGGTTAAGTGCTTTTATACGTGATCATATAAATGAGGGGTTAGTGGCAGAACTAAAGCAAGACCTTTCCTCAGCCTTTCTACTGCTTGCAATCAATCCCGATCTCCTTTTTCTTCTTCCTTGCACAGTTAACTGTCGGGGTTCAGAAGGAGTCACCCCATGATGTGCTTCTGTGGTGTGCAGATTGTTTGGCGCTAAAGGCAACCTTAGCTTCAGGCTCAAGAAAGACTTCTGCCCCTCCCTTAACTACCTAGAACTTGAATTAGAGGCCCGGCCCATAATAAGAGACTATCAGAGATAACTTCTTTTGACCTATCTATAGGGCAGGACAAGGTTCTATTTACTAAGCATTTACTTTTCTGATCACCCCGCAATGACCCTTTGAAGTCCGCAGGCACCTTACCTCATCCCTAGCTCAGGCCGTCTTATATACCCACCACGGTCCCTTTCTATCTCTGAACCTCTCGTGCATGTGGGATTTCGGACGCTCTTGTGTATGTGGGGTTCCTGTACGTTTGTATCCATTAAATTTGGATATTTTCTCTTGTTAATCTCTCTTGTGTCTGTTTGATTACTAGACCAGCCGAAAGACTCTTGAGGATAGAAGAACGTTTGTTACTCCTCCACATACACTTCTCAAAGGAAAGTGAGTAGATGTTTAATTACTCCATCATTTCATTTCCACTCACTACCTAATTCTTTCCAATCATTTGGCACCTCCTAAATAATTGAAGTACTTTTCTCTCCCTTAGTATTTGGTATTGTCAACTACCCAGTTCTAGAAA